CTGTATTACCAGCTCGAGTCATTCACAATTAATCGCTGATTCAAAGCATGCCGTCGTTTCGTATGTAACACGTACGGCTAGGTGCAGCTTTCATTAAACGCTCGTAAAATTATCTTGTCTTTGAGAACGTATAATACTATAGCTGTGCTGTATCATAGTGCTGTGAAATTGAGACTCATTAAACTGTTTGAGTTGTGTACGATATTATAAACATTTACATTTAATTAATCGCATGATAATTATATGCAATTCCGCAATTTAAATCATTCTCAGAGCTAAATTAAAACTGAAGATTATTACATAGATATTAAGAATTGGCAAAATAAAATAGGAAATTACAAAAAGAAAGATATGAAGAATTTTTATAATAAATTAAAGAAAAACGGTTTCTTACACAAGAGAACTTGAATTATTACGAATTAATATTATTTTGAAGAAATACAAAAGCGACGTTTAGATATAGGTATATATTTATTTTTAATTATATACATGCTTTGTTACACAATATCTTTTACTATCTTTAACACTTGAAGATTCTCTCTTAAGAGACTTCTTAAATTCAACGTAGTAATTATTTTTACATATAATTTTTTTTTATACTTTTTTTCGTTTTAATATATGTAGTACTATACAATACGATGTTTTGTGCAAGCATCATAATATATTTCTTATCATAGCTTTATTATTCGAAGAGATTTCTATTGGGGAGCGTAATCTACAGAGCGTGGATATAATGTTGTCGGTGTGGGATCGTCGCGACGCACAAAAAATTATTCACCTCGTATGACCCGCAACGGTTTCATACACCTTCCATTACAAGAAGCTACATATACGATGGATAAATTATTTTCTTGCAAGTCTCTCCCTCTCTGTCATCGATCATATTTAAAAAACTGTATTCTTGATATTCATTTAAAATGAAAAATATTAAATTGCTCTTGTTATATATGGCGACTAAGCATTTATAACAAGATTATAATTTCCGATATAGAAAAATATAATTAACAATCATTTTAAATTAATCAGCATTTTGTATATATTTTATGATATATAATCACAAGAAAAAGAAATAGCACAGATTTGGTTTTGGGAATAGTATTAATAACCATGTATTAATAACAATGAGCTCTAATGTGATTCGCGAAGTTATAAAGAAAATTATTTTTTGATATTAATGTAACAATATAAAAACAATAGTTAGATAAATTTTTATCAGACAATGATAAGTTCTAATTAGAGTGCAATCACAGGACTCACGTTAGAAATGTTGCATATAAAAAGATAGAAATTTGTTTTGAATCTGCGACATCGAATTACTAATCCTTCCTATTTTCCGATCATTGAAAAGCTAAAAAAGTTTTAAATTAGCAACCACTGACTGTGTATGTGTAATCTGTTTCTCTCATCATGAGGTTTGCCTTGTTGTTTTCATTTCGCTGTACTTTGTTTATTTTCTCCGTCTACGTGGCAATTTGAGACATACCATATAATGTGACAGTTCTGCGTTTTCATTAGGCGTTCCGATCTTTCTCTCGTTATTGATCCTCCATTGGTACGTCGTGAAATCATATTGTTTCTTTACTCGACATTATTCCACCATTATTATAAATATTTTTTCTAGGCGGCTCATTGATATCTATTGTATTCCCTGCCGCAAATTTTTGGTACAACTCTGTGATAGATAATGAATTTAATATATTTAATTTAATTTAATTTAATTTTGAATTTTATTGTGGTGCTTTTGGAGGGACTTAATACATTTAACAATCAATCTGTCATGGTTTTTTACATTGTTGACAGCTTTTTTCTATTTTTTATTTAATGACCGCTTGCTTTTTACATTTTATTTTTAACACTGAAGAGAGTGCAGTTCTGGACTGAATCATCATCATTTTTCCTTTATAATTTGCGTTTTATTTATATTATTCTCGCTTTGTAAATTATATTTTGTTTTATTTTTTAATTTATTAAAATTGTCACGCGTTTTTGTTTTTTAATTGATTTTATGTTATACGGACATCCGCTTCTTGAGTCCTTTTATCGATTCTCTAATTAGAATTTTCATTTAATATTTAGGATACACGTGGGATAAAAAAAGTTTGTTCCCCATCATCTTTATAACTTATGACGCGAAGCTCTCTGTTAGGCCATCTGGTTCGCGTGTACATGGCCGTATTGGTTCTGCCTTCCTCAAGACGGCACGTAATTATGATCGAAGGCAATTACTATACGTGTCATTTGCGTAGGGTAACGGGTAGGAACAAGTAGGTTAGCAAAAAGTTAGTAATGGTTAGCCGAGATCTTACCACTTCCACAATGATAGCATGCTTTTATAGTGCAGATCATGCACCTGGTACAACAAGTCCGGTTTCCCCGTTGAAGTGCCCACATTCATTAGCAGTCGAGCGAGCACGTGGTGATCCATAATGCTAATCGGACGTGATCGTTTTACGTGGAATGACCATACCCTGGAGCAGAAATTTCATCGAACTTAGTGAATGTTACGAATGCAAATGTTATTGAATTTAGCGATTACATTGATATTTTCATCCGAGATAATATATCGTTAATTAGAAAAATTTAATTCTACAATAAAACTTTTCTCGCGCATATATTTAAGAAGAACGTTCTATAAATAAATGTAAAAAAGTTTCAATTGCGTTGTGCCAAAGAACATTTTTAATAAATATTCTTCGCAATATATGTAGCATTTATCACGCTTTACGTTTTAAGCGCAATAAATGGCAGTCTCTGGAGTTTTCACGAGAGCGGTGACATTAATAAAGAGATGATAGTTTTTATAAAATAAAATGTTTTTTTTTTAATTTAATATATTCAGACGAATTATAGTAAAAAGCATAAAGAGCATACATTAAAACTTTTTAAATTTATGCACGGTATTACAATATGCACGATTTTTTACTCAAACATAATAAATGCAGAGGATGTATAGAATAATAATTGCGTAAAGTTCTTTATAGATTAAAAATTGTATTGGAATTATGCGATACTGTGTGTGTGAATTATCTTCTGCGAGCGGTGAAAGCTAATCTAACATAATCATTTCCCCTTCCTTTTTCTGTCTCGTCTACCGCTTACCCCGCCGTCTTCTTCTTATTCTTCTTCGTCTTTCTTGAGAGGACAGCCTAAACGACATTACGTAATTCAGCTGGAAAGTATATTAAGCATTACGAGAAGCAGGCAATTTAGAAGACAGCTAGATTATTACGGAGAGATTGCATCTGAGAGAAAAAAAATATATGTCTCTTTTACAAATTTACAGATTGTATCCATTTCTAGTATGCGATCTACTGAAACTTATATGACGCTATATCATAACAAATTGTGATGTTTTCAAGGATGACAATTTAAATCAAATAATTAAAGAAATGTAATTTTTATAAGTAAAAGCCATTCTAACGTATAATTACAGAGTGTATAAATATTTAATTGCACAAATATTATAATTAACATAATAAAAATTATATTTTGCTGTCATGAATAGTAGACAACATTATAAAATAATTGGTTTTTTCCGTAAGTTATCAAGTATGCGCAATATCTTGATGCATATATCGCAACAGTTATGCACGTGCCAATGAAAACAATTGAATTAAAGGAACAAGTGACCAATGCACGCATTGTTAAACAAGAACCGAAGTTCAAACGGCGATTGCGATTGAATCGTCGAACCATAAAGGGTTATTGTCTTTCGTGTGAAAATTGGGATCCGTGTCTATCCAAGAATTGATTGCCAATAAAGGAGAGAGGATACTTTGTGTGTTTAACGTTACTTTCAGAACTTTATTAATTCATCAATGCATTTTATTATTATTCTCTCGTTTATGATATTACTACATTAATCTGTATAAAATTATTGACTCCAATTATGTACATACATACATACATACAACACACACAGACATATACACCGATACATATATATATATATACTTTCTCTCTTCTTCTTTTTTCCTAACTTCTTACTAGCCACAACATATAGTGGTATTATAGAAATGTTATTTTTTATATAAGAAGAAGCAATTATATATAGACAACGAGCAAATTCGAAAAATAATATATGCAATTTTTTCATCAAAATGATCAATATCGAAATTTTAGCGACACTTTTTGTTTTGCAAAATATTATCTTTTGCTTTTCAGCACGAATTAAAAATATCAATACAACATGAAGCTTCTGCAGTATAATTAGAACAAGCAATACTATTTATATTCAGTGCTCAATTTTCGCAACGTGCGATTAATAACTGTTGTTATCGATAAATATACATTGTATATTGTTTGGACAAAACTTTAATTTAACTAATATTTATTGTGTTTTAATTAACGTATAATTTCAAGAAAAATCTAATTGTTTTTGTATTTATTATATTATTATATATAATATAAAAAATTTCTTATATGATAATAAATTTCTCTTTCTAGCCTCTCTGTATTATATCTCTCTTTAAGAAATGGTCTTCGACAGCACATATATTCGCACTAGTTTTTCTAACTGTTGACATCGATGTCGCTTACATACACACGCGGTTACACGCACACACATATTTATACTTACACATATACATATTCAAATTTATTTCATTCTGTCCCCCCTTTCAAATTTATACCTATCGCGATTTTGGAATCTAAATACTGTGTGTTTGACGAAGCCAGTCGTCTTTATACCGTTGAATGAAATAAGCTTGAAAGACATATATCGCCTAAAACAAATATCGTTTCTTTAATCACCTTGTCGCGTTAATCTCGAATAATTTTGGCGTCTCGTAGTTCAACGCGAAGTAACGGCGATTATTTAATTATATATTGATAATTCACATAAGTAAAGTATGAAAGTATGTTATTGTGCAAGAAATCGTAAGAATCATCTCAATACTTCTTTATCGCAAATCTCAATGCAATTTGTATTCTGTTTAAACTTAAAATTTACACGGGGTTTTGTTTTTTGATCTTCAGTGGCATATTATACTCTGTTTTAGGCCTATGTAAAAAGGGAAAAAGGCAAAGTGGTGCTTTATATGACATCGCTGGGCATAGTTAGAAAGACCTTTACCAATTGTATGAAGATGAAACAAATTTTGTGGACGAACATGGTCAAGTATGACGAAGCAGATTTATTTCGCGATACGGAATTACAAATCGAACTCAGGGACCGGACCAATTCGGAAGTCTTAACATTACCGCAACTCTTCGTCGATGGTCAGCATATCGGGGTATGTATGTCTTTTCAATTATAATATATTAAGGCTGCGGAAAATAGAAAAAGTATATATATATATTGATAAAATAAATTTCAAGAAATAGTTTGCAAAATGTACGTTTTGATAAAAAAAATTGTTTTGAGATAATTAACGGTGCAACTTTTTTAATCACGGCACTAGGAATAGAAACTGGAACTTACATAGTTTTCTGTTATATTTACTATTTAAACATGTTAACATTGTGTGTGTAAAGTAGGAATTAGATACGAGAAAATATTGTGCCAAAACTTTTTGCTAAATAACATAATAAAACCCATAAAGTTCTGCATAAAGCTAGAAGTAAGCAGATTCTTATCCTTGGAGATATCTTTCTTAGTTCTCTTAAAAATATTTGTACTTATATTTTTATAAGCCATTATATTATAATACATTAATGTGTAATAGTGTATATCGACATTAATTTATTATTCCAGTAAAAGTTAACAAAAACTTACACAGCATGGATTACTTTATTCTTGATATATAATTGTGAAGATCAAAATTCCGAGTAATTTGCATTTTTAATTAGGAGTCTCTCCCTCACCCACGCTTTTACTTTACAGTAAAATAAAGTAATAGCTAGGAATTCATAAACTGTATTTATTTCGAAATTCTTAGCAAAACTAAACTAATCTACTAATTCTGAAGCATATTGACAATGATACACAATAGCGAGCAAATGCAAACAAAAGAAATATAAACATACGATTAGGATATAACGAAAAAATGATACAAATTAGTACGAAAATTATTTCATATATATATATTTATAGTCGCATATTTCTCAGGAACTAAAAGAAACCGCCATAAAATTCAAATCGTGTATTACTTAAAGGAATGTACCCTCTACAATATATATCAAAAAGGAAATGATTCGTGTTATGTAAATCTATGTTTTGTCAACTTTCACCATTATTTCTTTTATTCTAAAAACATATGATTTAGCTATAAAAATTGTGTATGTGATGTATTTTATGTTGTCACTTTAAAATATATATTCTCAATATAAACGTTTTATATATAAAGACTTAGACAATAAAGTGTGAGCAGCTGGCGTTGAACGTTCCGTCATCTGTGTTTGACGTTTGTAAACTAAGTTATTTTGTTCTTAATAGCGATATCGATCTTTTTATCTGTTTTTATTTTTTCTCTCTCTTTCCCCTTAATAGATAGACTAACTTCTTATAAAAAAAGTTATAGTGTTAGCATACTAGCATTCGAGTTACAAGTACTTCATGATCCTTTCGAATCCATCGTTATACGCCTTGCGAGGAATTTATACAAGGCCGATGACGCATTATGCAATCGGGGATATTCGACATCGAGAAAGTCGGGAGATGAATAACGTGAAATGTCAAAGATAACTATTGACTGATGAGCAAAAATTGAATGAACTTACGAATGAAAATTTGAGATTGGATTGTGTCTAATTTACATAGACGGATGTGTCAATAAGAAAGAAAATCACACACACACACATATTCTTAAATATTTTACATAATAGAATTTTTGCACTTAATTAAATAAAATGCAATAATTAACTATCATACGAATAATAAATGAGAATAAATAATTTAAAAATTTTTTATTTTAAAGAAACTATCGTATCTTTGGGATAAGTATATTTTTATATGGTGATAGAATACTATGGCGAAGATGGCAAAGTATTATGTTTCAGCATGCAATTCTCAGATGTAGAGTATCGTCTTTCACATGTTTTCTTATGTTGCATCTGCCGTGAGATTGAAAGAGAAAGAGAGAAGATAATATAAAGTTAAAAATATTTGAAGTATCAAATTTTATATATATAGAGAATATATTATTTTTTTCGTTGAAAATAAAATTCTTGATGTTTATACATTAATATAAACTGATAAACCTTTTGATTTCAATAAACAATCAGATATTTTGAAAAAGGCTCATATAATCAGGTTACAATTCGCGCGATGTCAATCTGTCCAATTAGATACTGAGCCGTAATAGAGATTATGTAATCGGTAGAATGAGATAGTAGAAATTAGTGACAAGAAACGATTATTATCGCAATGATCATTTAAACGTTACGGTACATGGGAATGACCATAATAAACCTACGTATGTTCTCCCATTGTGTATAGTTCGTAATTGCTCTCATTCACGACGGAAGTAATACAAGTTCGTATCATCATGTATGACGAGATACCTTACGAGAAATATCTTCATAAAATAGTATGTCGCTTTTATTGCGATGTAGTAAAGATCTTCGTAAACATAACCTTTAGTTGTGTTTACGCACTTTTTCCAAGTGATGAAATAAGCGATATACTTTGATCGTGTTATGAGTAATATATATCATACGTGTACATGTGTTTATAATATAGTTGTCAATTACACACATTCCCAATAATATCAGAATATCTTGTATAATAGATTTTTTATATGATACAGTTTGATCTATTTTTTATAAGAAATATTAAAATTGTGAATTGTTTAATATAGAATTAAATAGATAATTTTTTAATATATTTATAACAAACATGTGTGATTTTCTCTGTATAATTATAATATTATTATAATCTTTTTTAAATCTTTTATCACACAAATTAGAGCTATATTTATTTTTTTTAAATATTTTTTAAAGTATTATTTAGAAGAACAATATTAACTTTTCACTTTTGCTCCGAAATTTAATAGCCATAGTATTTTTCTGACAAAAAGAAATGGATTGGATAAACAACATATCTTTAGCTCTAAGAGTTTATCATGCTGTAATTTGATTTTCTCGACTACGTCGCAGTGTCCGTTTCTCAAGAAACTTACTTCCAGCAACCGATAGTTGGATAGAGCAGATATATGCGTAAGTGAAATGTCAAGCTATTTGATCCAAGGCCGTTGGAGAGAACGCGAGGTGAGATTGCCTGCGTTACACCGCCTTAAGGTGGCTGATGTCTAGCATACAAGTGTACACACATAAAGCTAGCCCAACTGCATTCCAATCTGTCGGCGTCATGCAATTATCTCGCACGAAATAGCCGATTCACACCGAAAATCATCGAAAAATATCTGTTTCTTTCTATTACTATTTTTTTATCGATTTATACATCGCTTTCACTCTTGCTCGTCTTCGCACGTTTGACAGCTCATCACGTCGTCTTTGGTGAAAGGATTACACCGTCGTAACTACATTCGCAATAAAGTCTGTATTACGTTACATCAGATATAAAATTACAAGACGTGCTCGAACGGATCTTTGGAATGTCGCATTATTTTACTCGCTTGTGTTCGTAAATCCGTAATATCTACAACAATCTTGAATATTTTGCTGCAAACATCACGCATAGTAAGTTACCTCTAGGCAATTATCTGTTCTAATTTGAAAGATTTTTTAGAAAATATAGCAAAAATTCCTTCTTTGGATAAATCAGAGGCGTTAACCCTGGAAAATAGATATCGCGTGCTTTATTAAGAGTCTCATTAACATTAGCATGAAAATGCACGATACAACCATTACGGTGAATGTGCATAGCTGCTATGCATATATGCACGAGAAAAAGCGGGAAATATGATAAAATTTATTCGTGCAGCTGTACTACTCGTCGAGAATGTTATATCGTCGCCTTGAAAGACGCATTTTGCGATTTTTTTTTTTTATTTGACAGAAACTTTTTAACGCATGCAACATACCGGGAAAGCTCTGTTTACGGCATAGCGGTAGACGTACAGCAACAGATGACATGAACGAGGCGGAAAGAAAGCGTTCAAATAACTCGAACTGTTTAAATACCATGCTATTAAATGCCTCTGCGTTTCACAAATTTTTTTTTTACTTATTACAGGATGTCGACACCGTCGAGCGGCTTAACGAGTCGGGGGAGCTACGTCGCATACTGGAACCTTACCAGGTGAATTGATTTTGCCCGCCGTCGTAGAGCCTCAATATCCTTTTCGCCCCGGGCTGTACTTTAATACGGATGTGCCGGAGCGTGGAATTAATAATTTATTACCGGAATTTATCGATTAACGTTACATTTAATGTGTCAAACGCATTATTCTATTAGACCATACGCGAATGCGTAAGAAATGAATAACACGGCCGGACGATTAATTTTTATAATTATCAGTTACAACACATATTAATTAATTAATTCCCGTAAAGTTTTGTAAGAGAGAGCTGGCGTAACGGATTAAACTATTCGAAGACTAAGATATATATAATTTCCGCCTCTATTTCAATTTCAGATTATGTTTAACTTTTAATTCCTAACGTTAAATGCAGACGATATTATTGCAATTTTTAATTATATACACTTGTAACAATTCTATGCACAATATTCTAGACACAAATTAATTTATCAATTTTGCGTCAAAAATATAGCATTCTATAATTTTCTATAAAAGAATTTATGTAACAAGAAACTCTTCGATATCTGAGTTTATTGTTATTATCTCTCATAAACTTCTTCCAAGCAAGTAATAAACATGTAGTCTATATTCAGAACAGGAATTAGAAAATTTGATATAAATTTACATGCTGTCAAAAAATTCATCGCAATTTGAATAATTCGTACAATTGTGTTATATGCCCGCGACGCATTTATTATACGCAGAATCAGCTCTCTAAGGAAGACAGAATAGTAGACCGTGATGAAACATCTACGCACAACACAAGCTGTTGTGAATGCAAGGTTGCACGGCCCTTTCACTTTTATCTGTAACCCTCTCTTTCCAACTGCCGCCTCCTTTTTCATCGAGATCATAAATTTCTATGTCGTGCAATTCAGGTTTACCTTGCTGCAACTAAAGGTCGTTTACATATATGCTACCATTGTTACTTTTGTTGCATGCCAACGGTGTTGTTATACATATAAATTCCTCGGAGCGATCTCTACGAGATATACGCGTAGTGATTCTATTCACTTTTGACATAAATTAATTATTTTCTTCGTGAATATAATGATAAGATCATAAAATGTTTAGAATTAGAACATAGATATACAGAAGATTAACGTGACGTTAATATTTTTAAATAATGCACAAGGTATTAATAATGCAATACAGTTTTCTAATTTTTACTAAGATCAGGTTTACCGAACAAGTGAAAGGATTAATGATACATCGATTGACTTATATAATTTATTAATGTCTTTCTTTTTGTTTATTTCTGTATACGACAGTTAGAGGCATGGAATATGTGGTATTATTTAAATTTAATCAAAATCTTCAATATTTATTCGATTAACAACCGTATACCTAATCGTTATTCCATTCAAACTCGTTATATACTCTGCAAAATCGATTTACATTTCAAGTACATTAAACTCACGATCAGTAGCAAGTCAAAGTGAAAGTGAAAACTATGGTTTCGTAATGCCAAATAAGGCTCGATAGAAGGCTTGTTCGAACATCGTTGTCACGCGAAATTTATCTAATCTATTTTTAAGAATCATATTCTCCATAGATGTGTTATTGTTCAATATATTAACAAGTTATCAGTAAATTTAATATACATTTAAAGATTTTAAAAAAAATCAGAAAAGATGGCGCACAGAAATCAATATAGTAAACGTCACAAGAAACAATTACTTATTGCTAATTTTATAACACCCTTAATTAAATATTGCAAAACGTTTATATGTTTCAGTGTAAGGATGCATGCGCCGTTTGTACCTACTGCGGCGGATTCCAGAGACTACTATGTCCCATCTGTCACGGCAGCAAGAGATCAGTACATCGCAACGAGTTCACAGTAGAATTCGTCGCCCTAAAGTGCGCCAAATGTGATGTTTTTGGTATGATACGTTGCCCGTATTGTTGAGGAAGTTCCGCGAGGGAATACACCTGCTCAAATCACACATTTCTCTCTGTCTCTCTTTTAATCTATGATCATCTACTAATTTACATCTGTATTTAAGGTGCTACGAGAGTATATTTTATGCTATGCCTTAAGCAAAGACATACACGAAACGCCTACAGACACTAACTAATTGCGTAGCTAAGCTGACGCATGTTGTAAGATATCGGTTAATAAAACTTTGTGTAAAGTTTTGTAATTTTGTGCACCTTTATTAGAACTTTCCTAAAACCGAAAAGTTGCTTCTAAATCTTTGATCATTCGACGATCTAGTTCAGTCGCGACGTTTTTTTCCCCGACGAACGTGCGAATCTAACGCATCAAATAAAGATTACTTAAACAAAAACTTATTAAAAATAGCGTTTTTGAAAAATTAAGATTTAAATGGATTATGATTAATAACATGAAAAATTAAATAAAATCTATTAGGGACACCTGTAGAACTCGGTGAAGCGATTTAAGAAGTAGAAAAATGTTATTGAGATTTAAAATTTTTTTTTGTATATTTAATAAAATAAAAATTATTATAAACAATAATAATAATTAATAATTAAAATAATAAAATAATTGAAATACACATGAATGATGCGTGCTGTGTATCAGTCCAATCAAAAAAGGTGTAAGATGACTGTGACTTCCGCTACTGTGACTTCCGTTTGTGATAATTAAATGGAACATGAACGGGAATGCCTTTCATAATAAAAGAAAAAAAAACGTAAGTATGTGATTCTTCCTTAAGATACTTATTTCTTCACGCAAGAACTAATAATGAAAGAATCAATAGTACAAGCGATTGACTACAACTTGGCTCCAATATACTGTTGCAGACATTGTCATATTTCATGCACAAATCTTAATCTTCATAACTTTATTTACGAAAAAGTACGTATATGTGATACAATCTTTCGCATAATGACATACATAAAACATATTGAGAATGGCTGATATTTATATTTGGTATTAAATGAGACAAAATAACGACGCGCTTAAAAGGACATTGTTATACTTGTTTAAGAAAATGGATAGAAGAATGTATATAAGAAAAACAATTTTGAGAACATGCGATAATGAACGATGATAATATGTTGCTGCAGCATTGCGCTTCGTTAAATCAGTCATGTAGAGGAAAAATACTTTTAGACTTTTTTTTTTAATAGAAGAAAAGAAACACGATTATACTATTCAATCAAAGAGAATGCTTTATGTTCTATTGCATTTAATTATCGGCAGTTTAATTACACGGTAAAATAAGACAAGACATTTCGACAAGTAGAGCAAGACAGATTGCTGTGAAATTTCGATATAATCTTCATTTATATTCATTTACAAATATTTAAGCGTATTAATACAATAATAATAACACATGTTTAAGTAAAATATTATATGGTTTGTCATTTCTGTACACATTCGCTCTTGCTTTCTGGTGCCAAAATAGAAATCTCTAACTCAAATATATAATTGTTCTTTATTTACACGTGTGACTATGTTAGTCTACAGTATATTTATTCTACGTTTTTTCAAGGATAATCGCATGTTGATTACTTAATTACATTTTAATCGACACATAGTTTGAATTTCTCGATAATACGCTGTCTGATAATTTAGTGTGAATTACATTAAGGCAGCCAAGCATAATATCGGATTGATTATCTATATTTACATATGCAACAAGTTAAATCAATAACGTGCGCTGCCATTCCAAAAAACATAATACTTTAAACGGGCTTAAAAAACACTAATTAATTTGAATCTTATATTGGTCAATCGGAAAAAAATAACTTGTTTTAAGGAAATATATAACATTGAATTTTAAAATTTTAATATAAAATACCTTTTATTTAAGCTCTTTTTTAACAATTTTGTGATAGTTTCGTATAAATTCTTTCTTAATTTTTTTTGTTTATTGTATTCAATTTCTTTTTCAAATTCTTTTACGATCGTCTTTTTTTTAATGTTAAATTTCTAATTATATTATCGTAAAAGACTAATTTGGTTGCTTGATATTTGGTACGGGCGTAAGAAATGAAAGCCACGAATGCAGATTCATATGTCTGTATGTTGAGTGCTATTCCAGATATTCCATATATTTCGAAGAGATGCTGCTGAAACCACATATGAAGCAAATTCAAATCGATCGCTGGTTAGCCATCATCGGGACACGCGTACAATTAAGCATTCAGAAATCAATATACATATATATGATCATATACTATATATATGATATGATCGCATAGATATGATCGCATCTTATGATAAATGCAGTATATAAAAATAAAAATAAGACATTGCAATTATATATTGCAAAGCTACGCAGAGTTTAAATCTTTTTACGCATCAATTAAAATGTCATTTAGATATTTTAGTATAGACGGCCGCAAATTTGAAATTTAAAGAATTTTAGCACAGCGATGTGGAAAATTACGCGATTGTTATTACATAGTCTATGATGCTTGGATTTTGAAAGTTTCGTTGCAGCCACGTATATGTGCAATCTGGCATTATTACATTTCATATAAAATATCTCCTTCTTGTTCCGAATTCATTTTTATATGTGATTATGACAAAGTTACATACATAATATACATATATGTATATATGATATTTTATTATATTTTATATGGTATACGTAGTTACTTCAGTTCCGATATTATTATATCAGTTTATAATATATGTTATAAAATAAGTAATATAATCTTGGATTGCGCGCCAACAGTCGCGAAAAGATTTAAGTTATTCCTGTTTGAAAAAACGGGATTAAAGATTATCACAAAAGATTCGAGTGGCGCAATTTGCCAAGTCCTTGGAAAATCTATGTGTACGTTTATATAGTGTGGAATAATCGAGAATCCGCTTAAGATAGAATCCGCAATAAAAGCGAGACATCGCGTAAAGACATGCAGTTAAGTGAAAATAGTAACGCGGCAGTGCAACAAGTTTCACTATAACTATATTCTACATACACGAGTTTGGAGTAGAAAAGTCAATGTATTTATCTTGTTTTATTACTGACAACGAAATTTAACAAAGAAAAATGCCGCATGAACGCAGGAAAGTGTAATATACTTAAAAGCGCGTGGGATAGTTCTTTCTCTTCTCTGTTATCATAAATAGAATAAAAAGTCAACAAGGCCTTAACGAATCGATATAACGCTTGAAGGCATAATTGCTAACTCTTAACTAGTTTTATTAATTGTACAGAGTATTTAATATCTCTTTCATTGTATATGTAAAAAAGTATATATATTATATATATACAATATATTATATATAAACATATATATATATATATATTTACAAATTAATTTACATATAATAGTATTTATACAATATGATACTTATTATTATAATTATGTTATTATATACCAATTAATAATAAATTGATTTATATTAATTATATATT